CCCGGACCGAATTTCCGCAGCTAGAGGGCGGGCTCCGCGCCTCCCCCCGGCAATTACACCGTTTGTATAGGCCGTGATGAGGTCACGAGGCGCCGATACGGGGAAATTGAGTCTTCACCGCGCGCTCGCGATCGTATCGGCGTTTCGACGCCGATCGGCTATCGTGGGGCGGCGGGGGCGGAGTACGACCGGGCGTGGAAGGGGGCGAAAACGACGAGGTGAACCAGGCGGGGAACTACGAGAGTTGCAGATGAACAGGAAGCAAGAGCAACAGAAAGCAAGGAACACGAACGAGAAGCAGAATAAGATGAATCGAAAGCAAGAATGTAGGCAGACCAGGAAAGACATAAGTCGAAAATGTGTAAATGATGTAGAAGGGAATTGTAACGAAATCTAACGTGAGAATAGAAATAAAGTAAGCAAAATAATAATTTAAAAATGATGTGAAAAAGAATCAAAAGGTAATGAAATGTGCAGAAGTGAGTGAAGAGCAAGGGCTTGATTCGCGACTGGTACATGAGGAATGGGAGGAAGGAAGCAGGTTCAGGTATGTTGTAAAATGGACGGTGAGTGTGGAGAAACTGACAGATTTCAGAAATAACTTCGCGAAAAATACACAATGGTCGTGAAAAAGTTTAATATAATCACAGGGTTAACGATGAGGGAGAAAATTTGAGTGACTATTAGGCATAATATTAGCTAAGAATTCTCTTCACCTAAAAATATCTACCGTCATTGGCCGGGGTCGATGACACAGTTTTAGATCACAAATCTTTTACGATTGCAACCAAACATTATTCTAGCACATTTACAATTCGTCGGCGATGATGTAATTTGAACGTGATGGGACAATAGTGGAAATAGAGGCATGGAAGTTGACGGAATCCCGAGATCCTAGAATACTTTTTATCCTACACAAACCGCGCAGTCATACACTAATTCCTGGCACCAACCAATATTCTGGAGGCGATTCCAGAGGTTAGAGGTAAGCGATCTGCGTGTCTCTTCTCCCTACCAAACCATCGATGACCCTAGCACCCTACCACACAACCATCGAAGGCCCAAACACACCGCTAAACCACCAATAACAACAACACGCAATCAAACCCCACGGTGAGGAGGCGAAAAGCTAGCCACGGAAAGGACCGCGCTGGGAGCGACATCAGAGGCGGCGACGCGCGCCGACGCAACCTCCGCGTCGCACGCGGCGGCGAATGGCGGCGCGGCGCGTGCAGTTAGGGCCACAACGCGCGCTTAATGCACGCGTGGACGCGGCGGGGGCGGCGCGCACAGCCCGCCATTAACGGCGCTTGTCAAATATAAACATCCTTTTTTGCGCCCCGATCCTCGTAATTGAGACGGTACACTTCGCGGCAGAAGTTGACGAGTCACGGCCGACAACACAGACGTGATTAACGATGACACATCCATAAAGAGAAAGGTTATTTATTAATTGACGATGAGTATGTGGTTTATTGTTTAATTATGAGTTTATTGACGGCGCCCCGGCGCCGGGCTGACGGCCGATTCATTAGCGACCATCCCCACCCTCGCCTCCGCCCCCGCCCCGCCCCCAACCCCGCCCGCTCCGCCCCCGCCCCGCTGCCCCCGCAGTACCTGCGAGGTTTGCGAGCGGGCGGAGGTTCTCTGTCCCTTGGAACACGCGCATGCTGAAGAGGCGCGCGGTTGTTGTGTGTATTTGTTGGTCGGTGCGAGCCTCCCATCTCGTGCATGGTTTTGTGGAGTTTCGCGGCGCGACTAAGAGCGAATGATGAGATCCTTTCGTGTGCTTGCTGTCAGGATAAACTCGTATTTGTATCCTGCCCACCTGCAGTATATTTTGCTAAGAGACGTATTAGATTATTGTCTTTAGCATTTACACTAATAAATTTAAACATTTACTCTCAAACATTAATAAAACAAGATGACGCGTCTGTATAATAAAATAAATATTATTTAATATTGATAATTTCAGGAACAGTAACATTAACTGGTAATTTCATGAATTAACTCTTGTACAGTAATTATAATATGCATTAATTACTATAGATTGCATTATAATTTTATGCTCATAACTTCAATGCAATTAACTGAAAAGTCACCTCTTAAAATTTTTCAAATCTCTTACCTTTTCTGTAATTCTGTTCACTAGGTCACTCCTCAATGAATGCAGTGCGTACTTGCTCCTGACTTTGAAATTCAGATTCTAGGGGAGTATTTTGTTCAATCCATTAAATGGCCTCAAGCTACAATTATAAATATTTCGATCTTTGTAAAAAATCTTGCAACGTCTAATGTGAAATATTGTCATTCTTACATGAAAGTATTTTGTACGTTTCAATCCAAGACAGGAAGTTCATGTCTCAATATAACGATTTGACTTTTTGATGAGAGAGGAGAATCTGCTGGAAGTCTGAATGTGAAAACGACTTGATGAATGGCACAAATACACCTAAAAGGACTCCAGAAAATGGGTAAGGGAGAACGGGTACTTGTCCTTCTTAGCCTGCGAGAGACAAATTAGAAAATTATGTATCGTGCCAAGCATATCACTTGGCATCTCAGCTTAGGGACAATGATGCAAACCTCCCCGTCAACTGCATTTGAAATTCTGATAAATGTTGGGCATAGCTTTGGCCTACTACGCCTCCACTACCAATGCGCTGGAATAGAAATGTCCTTCTTCACTTGGCGAAAGTGTACCTGCACGCCACGCTATCTTTTATTCAACGAGAAAAAACACGTCCCGTTTTCTGCGCTGACACTACGACTCCAGCCACATGGAGCGCACTTTTTCAGAATTTCATCAGCCGATCAGAAAGGAAACACGGACTTTCGACACGTTCTCTCATGATTTTTTTTTCATTAGAGGAAAAAATTATATCACTTGCATCCAATATCCCGTTGGTATTGGAAATAATATGAATATCGTAAACCGGGCAAACAATGAACGTAAAATTACTTTTCACGTTCTAGTAGTTACTCGGGAGTAAATGGTTTCTGGAGCCATTAGCCGTTAAGATCCGCCGAGATTTCGCGCAGTGCCAGGCAAGAGGCGCTGGCGGGTGAAACGACTATCAGCTACCACTAACTTAAAAGGATAGCCAATATCACTGTTTGCTTGGGTGAGGTTGATCCTATTCGTTTTATAAATTTTATAATCATTTTCTTGGACCAAACTGCAAAACAGAGAAAAAAATTCAAATGAAAAAATTTAACGAAATGTATCCCACAAAATTTTATCAGGCTTGTTGCTTTATTTTCATTCCTGGTTACAATGCTGGTGAAATATGCTTTCTATGCCTGTGGGGTAATTTACAATAGAAAATTCATTCGTTGAATCGAAATCCGTTTAAAACCATAGAATCAACTAGAAAGTTTACTAGACAACACGAGACAGCTCCATACCTACTGCATGCAATTGCGATAATAATGTACTTGAAATACAGAATTTACTGGCTTCGCGAGGAAATAAATATAGCTTTATTCATGAATGCACATGAAATGTTTATGTTAAAGTTCTGCTTAGTCTCATATTTTGCCGTTCCATTAATTCAACCACTTAACTGACAATGAAACATTTTCAGTAATGCTTAATTTAGAATTAAAAAACTCTGTTTGAATTGTTGGCTTCATTTAGAATAAGTGAAATAATATGATATGTTGGTCACTGCCAATAGCTCCATATCTTCCATACTTACAGACTGCCATGTTCTGGCGAATATATTAATGTCTCTGAGGATGTACTAAAGGATGAAATACAGGTTTGAAAAGTGTTTTGTCAAAGCAACTAATTAATTCCCTGCTTATTAAGATAATTGAAGCTGAGAAAATAAAATGCTTTTGAAAAAGAAAACAAATGTTTAAAATTCATTCGTGTTTAAAATTCCTGTGTCTATCTGCCCGAATGATGTGTTTAAATGAATGAGGGAAATACAAGATTGCGTTATACCCACTATGCACTGCGAACTTCTCCGTTAATGGATATATTTGAAAGAAATATTTAATTATCTTTTATAAATTTAGATACCTATTCAACATATGCTGCAGTAGATGTTACAGATGATTATGCTATCGTAGATGTTGTGAAAAAAAGAAAACAAATAGATAGTGTCACTACACTTGTATACTTAGCTTACTCATTTTTAGAAATCAGGGTTTATTTTTTCAACTTAAAACTCTTAAATTCTCAACAAAACGCAACAATGAGCGAAAAATATTGAGAAAAAGGTGCTTAGGTGAACAATCTGTATGACATTTTGAGTATTACATGTATGAGAGTGTGTATGCGTATTAAGTTTTACTTAAAAGCGTGAATGTAAAAAGAATGTATGAACATAAAATGTGTGTAAGTAAAGTATATATATATATATATATATATATATATTATATAATTATATAATTATATTATATATATATATGTGTGTGGGTGGTGGTGTGGTGTGTGTGTTGTTCTGCGCTCTTAACGTAGCGTCCAAGCTTCGCAGGGCATCGTAAGCTCAAGCGGGCACCGGATTTCGCCTTAGGCGAGAGCGAGGGAGGAGCGGGGGCGACGGCAAGGGCGAATGACGAGGGGCGGGGACAGGGGGGTGGGCGAAAGCGGGGGCGAGGGCAAGGACAAGGTAAGGGCGGGCGGGGCAGATACGGGGTGAGGCGGGGGCGAGGGCGGGGGTGAGGGCGGGGGCGAGAGCGGGAGAGGGGGCGGAGCGGGAGCGGGGAAGAGGGCTGAGGCCTAGGCAGGGTCTAGGGCGAGGGCGGCGGGGCGGGGTGGGGACGGGGGCGGGGGTGAGGGCGGGGTGAGGGCGAGGGCGAGGCGAAGTTGATGGCGGGGGCGAGGGCGAGGGCCTGAGCAAGGGCTAGGGAGTGGCGTGGGCGGGGGCAAGTGCGGGGGCGGGCGGGGCGGACGCGCAGGACGCCCGTGGGCCGCGCCGCCCGCGCGCGACTCCCCAAGCGTTTAATGAGCAATCGCTCTCGTTGCTATTCAGGGCCCAAGTCGATCAATGGCTCATTTAACATGGGATCTTAATTGCATCTGTGAGTAATTAAAATAGCAATAATTACGTAATTACTGTGCTCCGTAAAGGGCACCTCTGCGAACCGGTACTGGTTTCCGAAAGCGCGCAACAAGTGCTTCGCCTCGTCGCGTGTGTGTGTGTGTATTGGGTTCGCTGAGAAACTAAAAGGACTCTTGCGTAATTCGGGCAGAATTATGGGCGTTGCTACTGAATGAGCAAGCGCACTACCTTGACACTTGTATGGACCGAAGGGGTGGGCCTCGTGCATCCATTCTAGCAGGACGTCGGAAGAACAGCATTTTTTAATTTATTTTCTCCAGGAAAGTTATTGTCAAATATTCGTCTATCGGAGAAAATTATACGCCCCGATCGCATTAAATAAATAGCGGCTTCGTATTTGGTATGTACAACACATGCGCAGCTTAATTTGCGGGCTTATCAAGTCCAGGCGATCAGTGACCTCTTAATTAGGGGCACGCACTCGTATTTAGATACGATTAATAAGGGCGGCCCCCGCGCCTTGTGGCCAGTCTGCTCACCGGCCTGCTGCCTTCGCCAGAAGCGCGCCGCTCCCACGTAGAGGACACCCGCGCTTATTACACGCGTATTGCTTGTCTCGAAGAGGAAATGAGGCGAGATACGAGCAACTTCAAAACACAAATTTCACGGTAACAGTATTTTAGAGTCGCTAATTGATTTTACGAATTCTGATTACGTGGTGTTTGTACGTGTGAATGTCATTGATGTGTTCATGTGCGTTATGTTGATTTTCATCTACTTGTTGAAAAGGAGTGAAAGAATTCGAATGAAAATTTTAATTTTCACTCAGTAAAAATCAATATCTAGAGATTAGTTAATTTTTGAAATTTGTTTACCTGCTCATTATTCTCTATTTATAATAAATATTTATGTGGTTCAAAAAGGCAAATGTAAATTAGAAGTTAAACACAAGCTGAATGGTAGTTTTTTTTAAAAATATAACAGCTTATCATAAGCATTTTTGTGAAAATATGAAGCTTCAGAAAAATATTTCAAATCTGTTTACAAGTGCAAATTGTTCCCAGTAACTTGTACAAGAGAACCTTGTACGTATAATGTAAATTATATAATAAATTTTGTAGAAAATTGAGCAACAGTATCGATATTTAAAACAAAAATTTATTGTTTTTTAATAATAGTAAGAACTTTTCAAACGCACCAAATCATCAGTGATCAATATAGAAATTCACTATTGGCGATTTCATGGCACACAATCATGGCCCTTCTACGGTGCTCAACTGGGTGATAATTCGGACAACTTCTGCATTCGAATGTTTTGCCAACAGTGCCAATATTGATGGTGCAATTTTCGTAATTTTTGAATTTCCCCAATACTCTCCAGTAATTCTGTTAATTCACTGTATTTTCCCCTCTCCCCAACATTGCTGGGCAGATGTTTTTCTCCGACGAAACATTTCTAAACCCGCTGAACCCGTAGGGGTAAATTCACTAAGACGGCAATACTATCTTACAGTGTTTGATCTTTCTAATATCTTTTATAATATATGAGACCATTTGAAAAAAGTGAATCACGTCATTGTTACATGGCTTCGATAATTCCAATAACACAATAGAAATGAACAAAATGAGGTTTCTAAAGCATTCTATCACAAATATATTTGCTTGAATCTACAAGTACCTAAATATAAATAATCTATTTCTTCAATGTGATACACATTAATGAAATTTTTTTTTTTAATTCAACGAATATTTACCATCTATTTGATATGAGAAACAATCAGTAAATATTATAAAGAGATATATTATCAATACAAAATGGTGTACAAATAAGGGAGCCAACCAATGGTTCTTTTCATGATAATCTTTACAAACCTATAACAAAAAGAACAATAATTGAACAATATTATAACATTATTGTTGAGGATTAAGAGGCCAACAAAATTGAGAATACATAAAGAATACCAGAGGAAAATGCGAAAAGCCCCTTTCTTGAAGCGCTGAAGCTGACCACGCCCCTCCGCAAAGCCCGGCGCGAAGCGGCGGCGAGCGTGGCGACGCGGCGCGGCGCCGCGGGGATTTAGGCCTACGGCGGCGGCGCAGGCGCGGCCCGGCCGGCCCCTTCTGCGCACGCGCGGCCCCGCGCCCGCCGCCGCGCCGCCTTCGCTTGTCTCCACGCGCCGGCGAATGCGCTTGCGGACGAGGGCCCATTTCCAGGGAACGGCGGGGCTTAAGTTTTGCTGTATCAAAATTGTGCAGGGCTACACCTTTGTGACCATTTGTAGTTTTGTTTACATTTTAATTTCCGTGTTTTGTATAATTAAACCTTCATTTCGAATTAAATGCACATTTTAATCCCAGAGTCTAAGTTTATGTATATTGTGTAGTATAAATTAAAATATTAAATATCAGGGCAATACAATATTCAATAAGAAATTAAACCTATGTAATATAGAAGAATGCAATTGATTATATTTATTTAAAGTGGTATTTGTTGATAAAATGTTATTTAAAGAGTTGTTTTTTGGGATTTCATCAACGTTTTTTAACAGTGATGGTAAAACCAGGAACACACTAATACGAAATAATTGTCAGGAAACCATTCTATTCCGGTAGAGATTTTTGTGTTATGAAATTATACTTGTAAACCCCTTAATGTATATCCCTTACGTTCATAAATATAAATGCAAAGGTTTGAGTATTCGAATATTTAGTATCTTAAAAAATATGCGAAAAATGAATGATTCCAATGCTCTAAAACTTCTTTTGAATCTCTCGACAAGAAGTTACCATAAGTGTGTAGTTAGATACGACTGGTTCATCTGGCTTAATCAATGGAATATTACTGTAAGGGGTGTACAAGTGTTTTTTTATTCTTATGCCAGAGCAGTAGGTGGAGTTGTAAATTCGTTTCGGGACCGACGCGTCCCTTGCCCCCGTCGAGCAGAGCGCGTTGCGTGTGCTAAGTGTGCTAAGGGTCGTGTGGTGTGCCGCAGGGCCGGACATCCCTGGCTTCCTGCTGCAGCCCTTCCGCAAGCCGAAGCGCATCCGCACGGCGTTCAGCCCCAGCCAGCTGCTCAAGCTGGAGCACGCCTTCGAGAAGAACCACTACGTGGTGGGCGCCGAGCGCAAGCAGCTCGCGCAGTCGCTCAGCCTCACCGAGACGCAGGTAACTAGCACCAACACGACCGAAACACAAACAACTACCAACATCTAACAGCAACACTTGCATGCCCAATCAAAAATCAACCACTGCCAATATTTAACATCAACACTTGCAAGCCAAAACCAAAAATCAACCACTACCAACATCGAAAATCAAAAGTCTAAAATAAACACTTACAGAAACACCGAAATACAAAACCCAACAATAACTACCAACGCATTAAATCAACACTTACAAGCAACACCACAAAACCAGAAGTCAACAATAACACATCTAAAATCAAAGGTCTAAAATCAACTATTCAAAGCAGTGCCAAAAATAAAAACCAACAAAACAAATTAGAAAAACTAAACTAAAAACAACACCAAAACGGATAATCATCAACATCCGCATGATAAAAATTAATGTTATGGGACTCAAAAGATGGGCGATTTAAGAAGTGATGGGAGAGGGTATTATAATGTGATCTCTTAATATATATTTCGTTATCTAATAACTACATTTTGAGACATTAAATTTTCGTTTCTATTCTATATTCGTTCATTATTGTACGTTCTTCAGTACTGCTTCTTCAGTACTCTGTAATTAAACTGTATCACTCACTATATTTTTATTAATCGAAATTGTCACGTTCATTTCAAGCCTCCATCTTAACAGAGCGACCAATAATGTGTCTGATGACGTGTTGAGTTCTGTGTTGACTAATCTCATTCTGTGTTTCACGCTATCCTTCGTTTCACAACAATCTGTTTCAAGATCTTGTCTTTCCATGAGCACGCTTTTAAAATTAGAACTCTACCAAATATACAGATGCATTGAACGTGAAAACTTATTGATGAAAACGCATTATTTCCCTAATTAATCAACATATATTGAGGGAGATTGCCTCCAGCGAAGTGTATAAATAAATATTTCAATTCAAAAAATTTACCAATTATTTACAGAAGGATTGTAATTTTGTCCTCACTATAATATTGAAGACATAAAACACCAAATTGTTTGGTCGTTCTTGATGAACCTCTGTCGATAGCAAATAATATGAAGTTCTGGAGAGACGATCCCGACTCAATTAAAAATAGAATGCGGGAAATTAAACAAGAATTTTGATGATATCAAAATTGATTTGTATGACGGGTTATTTAAAGAAATAATGGAGTAAAAATAGGGAAAATACTTTTTTCGGTGGCGCTAGACATTAACCGTCTTGCTAAACTAATATTTTGTTGCTTATATTTATGAAATATATTCTTCATTTTGTGTATTTTAAATTGTATCTGCATTTCATACAAACAAGATTATTTTAGACTTCAAATGTACAATTAAAATACGCAATTGAAAACGAGAAGAACTTGAATGGAGTTTAAACTCGTAATGTAATGAAATCTTCATGATCTCTTCTCCTTCATCGATGTTGCCTACTGGCATGAACAATTAGGAAGGTCACCTCTGGTAAGTCACGCTAAACGATTTTGTTGTGACAAACACTATTTTTTTCGTTAATAATTCTTGCCAGCATATTGATGACGGGTCTTGCTTCATGATAATTGGTTATGAGAGTGTGAATGCTCACACAACAACCTTTAAAGGGTTCATTTCTTTTGATGGAATTCAGGAAAGACTGTATTCGCGGTACTAGAAAGATCTCTTCCTTACTGCGTCAGGGCACTTTAAAGAGTTTTTGCACAAAGGCTTCGATATGAATTCATTTCAACGTTAAAAAATTATCTGCCGACTGAATACATTTTATTGTTTTATTGTCTTGCTTACGCATCACAAAAATGTTGAACTGAAGGACTTTTCCTTTCAATTAAACGATTTTTATTTATTTCTTCTTCTATGTATAATTACATTGTTAATATTAGCTTTTATGTTCGAGTAATGAAATGGCTTGAATATTAACAATTATTATCACTAGAAATTACGCAAAAAATTGTATATATAAGTATTATCTTCATAAAATGACAAATAAGGATAGAAATAACTTGGTTTAATGGTTCAGTTGGAAAGCATCCAAAGGATACTAAAAATATCCCCCGCTCCCTCTTTTGTTAACCAACGGTGACATGAAATAAAATTTCTCGGCACGTCCCGACCATGCTACGAAACAATGGAAAGGAAAGGAAAAGACAAATAATGCAAACTGCAGCCATAACTTCGTTTATGAGTTGGTGGTCAGAAAAAATGAGATACAAGAAGTACGAAATTTTAATTCACAATATCAAAAAGAGAGTTTTAAGAAACCTTTTAGCCTTGCGAAATTATTGCATTAATTCGTTTGAAATTGACTAACAAGAGATTTGAAAGGAACATTATAAAACTAAAATTCTTTTTTTTTTGAAACTATTTCAGTATGTTACGTTCTGAATGATCCAGTGCGCTAATTTCATATTGGTCAAACTTTTTAATAAAAGGTTTTTGAATAGCGGCGATATTTGATGGTTATTTTCATCGGAAATGCATCAACGTGTTCTACATGTAACAAATTAAATCAATTTGATGAATTCGTGTTGAACGTTTGCTCACTATTGTCTTTCGAAACGAAAACTTCATTTTTTGGATGAATATACGTATTACTTGAATAATGTGTTCACTTTTGACGTTATAATTCAAGTTAGAAGTTAACGGTTATCGGATGCCTTTGAAGCTAGCCAATTTCTGATCATAATACTTCGCAGGAGGATAGAGAAGCGTGTTAATAATATATTGCTTCTGAAAACGAGAAAATAAAACTTTGGAAATAAGTTCTTCCATTGTATGCTATTCCTCGTCGATTGTTTTGCAGTTATAACAGGAACGAAAGGAATTAAAGTTGGAATGTACATCTTTAACTTAACAATTGCTATGATTCCAGTACATCCAGTTATACATGTGTATAAATCTTAACCCGGCGTAGAATTATAGTGCTTCTAATTGCGAGTAACTTGCAACCTGAACATTTTTTGAGAAAAAATAAACCCACTACAGTTCATACGATACCTCTCACGTCGGTAGACCTGCAGGTGTACTAATTTCATTTTAAGCAAGCTAATGATTCAAACGTATCAGGTACCATCGCAAACAGTAGAACAACAGTTAATGAAGCTCTGAAATACGCTTGCAGGTAGCCCCGAGTGTATGTGAAACACTAAACCCCGAAACGCAGTCCAAGCTGGCGCAACGCAACCCTCCACATTCGCGTCACGTATTCGGGGAGCGTCCGGAAGACTTCTTCGGTCCGCGGCCGGGCGCAGCGCGGCGCGGCGCAGACAGCCTCTTATTACGCACCGCCAGCCGCGGCCCGCGCGGCCATAAAGCGCCCTTGAGGAACGCCCGCATTAAGACGCCGGCCGCCGCGACGTGCGCATCCAACGGCCCATTTGAGGGCCAAATGTGGCGTGGAACTTGAGACGGCGGCGGCGGCGGCGGCGGCGGCGGGGCGCCCTGAACGGGGACACGCGGCGAATCGTAGATTTTTGTCGAGGTGCCCGGGCGTCATTACCGTAAACATGTTCACTTGGTACCTCGTAAAACGCTCCGCACAACTTCATCTCGGGCCGGCGGGGCGGGCGGTGAGTGGGCGAGATTTCGGGGCAGAGCGCGGGTTGTGGGCAGTGGGCGGGTGAGAGGGAGGCCATAGAGGCGGAGCGCAGGTAGATGTGGGGACGTGGTGGGTCGGCGCGGTGTGGGAAGAGGAGGAGGGGAGGAAATGAATGGGAGAGAAAGGATGTGAGGAAGGTTTCGTGAGGGATGGGGGGGACGTGATGCACGAGAGACAGGGTGATGCAAGGCGAGGGAGGAGCGAGGGAAGATTATGGCTGTTTGAGCACGGGGTTGAAGGCAAGGGTGTTGGAGGATGATAGTGAAAAGACGGTGTGCGGGCGGCTGAAAATCCGAAGGCTGGTGAGTGAATGGGCGGGCGGGCGGACGCGCGTGCGGGCGATGAGAGTGCGGGCGAAGGAGCGTGCGGGCGAAGGAGCGTGCGGGCGAAGGAGCGTGCGGGCGAAGGAGCGTGCGGGCGAGCGGACGGGGGAGATGCCGGTGAGCGTGCAGGCGAGCGTACGAGCGTGCGGGTTAGCGTGTGGGCGCCGACCGCGGAAGCGACGGGCGTGAGGGATGGAAGCCGGGGGCCATTCCCCGCCCGTGGGTGTCGTTAAGGCGCGGGGCGGGCGTGGGCGAGTGGGGGTGGAAGAGACGCGGAGTCGCGCGGTGCTTAAGGGAAAATTCCCTGGTCGGCAGCGTTTTGCCCGAGATTTCTCAAGCTTCATTACGCCCGACACGGCTCGCTTCGGAGACAAAAAGCGGCGCGCAGTGAGGGCTTCCCCGGCGCAGGCGGCCGAAATCAGATTCGAAACGCCGCACTGACAATATCAGTCTTTCAATTGCTAAACTCAACTATTTGAAGCTATTGGGATCACAATTTTTACTACCGTATTAAGCAAAACCTCTGAAAAAATTATAATAAACATGTTAATTACGTGACAAGTTTAGGAAAACAAAATGTGGTACATTAAAAAAAACACCATGCGTAAACGCAATTGTTTACCTACAACGCATGGAGTTTTTAAACACATGGGTTACAAAACATTCGTTTTGCTTTCCTCTCTGAAAAATGATTGCAAATATATTGCCATCACTTTTTATCACAATGAATAATATTTCTTTTAATTTCATAATCATTTCAGTATGACCCAAATTTTGCAAAATCTTTTTTGTACTAAAATTACAAAAGAATACGTTGCTTTTTAAGCCTCAATCTGATTCATTTACCGCTCAGAGGAAAATATTTTTATGTCAATTGCACATTAACTACGCTACACTTCAGCGCATGAGACTACATGGCCTACTGTCTTCAACGTGGGTTTTCGCCCTGGTGGCGGCGGGCCGTTCGCCACTGTGCGCGGGGGCCGGGGGCAGAGGCTACTGATGGTGGCGATGTCGTTGTCGGAGGGTTAGTGCTCCAAAAAAGAAGGCGCGCTGCGACTCCCGTGCGGTTCGGCGCCTGCCTCCGCCTCCGCCCCCGCCGC